AATAAACACTTGAGCCTTTACAAGGGCGCTTTGTGGTGCAGCAGCGACTTGTAGATTCTCCAGTATTTCTGTGCAAACCAAGTGGAGCTATTTAAGAACAGAACTGTTTGTGCAGCTGAGCAGGGCTGGGCACCAATTCACCCAAATATCCTGAGTTTCCCCTTGAAAAATCCACTTGAAATATTGTTGTGAAGAGGCCCATCCCGTATTTGAGGGCAGATTGCTCCAGCTGTGTTTGGATGGAGGGCAGTGGTTGGGCTTGGCTGTCAGAGGGGCTGCTAGCAGAATTTTTGCAGCTGTTGGCTTCGCTTGGCGTAAGTAGGCTGAAATGCTGCCGTGTGCCAACTCAGATGGGGACGAGTGCCACCAAAGCCAAGCAGAAGTGACATTCCTGGAATAAATTATTCAGTGAAGCGCAAGGAGTGACTCCTACTGCCCCAAATGGGGGCTGCTGAGCTCTCATCCAACTGGGCAGTGATGCTCATCCCACAACCCTCCAGCACCCACCCCGCATCCCATGGACATCTGCCCATCCGTAATGAAAAGGCAGCGCCGCTGCCACGCCGTCTCCATGGATTTGTGGTTAAGTTGCTTTGTGGATGTAATCTTATCGCCTAATGACCAAATAATGGCGTGCAACAGGAGCTGCGTAAGAAGCCTCTGGATATCATTTTGCTGTCATTGTGAAGGCCTTGGAATGTGATCCCCATTAAAGGGGGAATTTGCATTAACATTGTTTGGCCAACATAATCCCGCCCTGTAATCACATTTTTAGGATATTAAAATAGGCCTGACTCTAGCCTGAGTTGTAACCCCTTGGTCCCCAGAGGCTTGGATGGGATTGAGCTCCAGCAAATCCATCACAGCCAATGGAGCCCCTGTGTGAAGTCAGCAAGCAACAAAGAGGAATTTGGGGGATCTTTTACCCCCCAGATCTTCCCCACTGATGGCAGAGTTGCCTACCTCTCTTGCTACATCCGTAGCTCCTATCCATGCACGGCTACGTGGGGTCAGTGATTCGATTTTCACTTCCCCCACCTATTGAGAGCAATGACCTCTCTATGGAGACTACCTCCACTCACTCTACTGCAACAGAGACGTCCCCATGTGCCTGCTGCCTGTTGTGTTTGTGCTCAGTGCCCTGTTAAAGGTTTGCCATCCCCACGGAGCTTGCAGCAGTGAGCTTTGCCCGTGTGCTGACTGCGAAGCAAACCTCAGCAGTCAGAAAGCGCTGAATTTTATTTCCTATCTCGAGTTTCTGTTTCTCTCTCATTTTTTGCAACCACGAGCTGGGCGAAAGGCTGGCGAGGGATTTAAATAGACTGCAGGTGGGAGGCGAGAAGCGTCCTCCTAATGTACAGAGGAGAAACTGAGGCACAGAGAGACTCGAGGCTCTGCTCCTACGCAGCCAGACGGCTGTGGGCGCATCTCAGGGCTGCGGTGCTTCTCTGTGGGGTGGCTGTGAGCCCGAAGGCTGCAAGGTGGTCACTCCTGGACCAAAGGCAGCTTTGTGCTGCTTCATCCCTAATTGCAGAGCCAATAATCGTAATTAAATCGGAGCTAAGTTTGCAGGGAAGAACCAGCTGAAGGTTACGGGGAGAGCAAGCGACTAAACGTGGCTGCAGAGAGAGGAGCAGAGTGCCAGCTGCCCATTTGTTTGCTGTGGCTTTGTGTTACTGGGACTTAATCACGAGAAGCTGGGTTGATGCTGAAGCCCTATTTACAAGTTTCAGCTCTGCCCCAGCAGTGGGGAGTGACCCGAATGGCACTCTCAGCCTCTAATGTTGGCAGGGAAATAGGGTTCCTATGGATGTGAGAAGCAAAGGTAGGGCAAGGTGAGCTCGTGGTTCCGGAACGACAGGAGGAGCCACACGAGTGAGTTAATCGTGTCCCCATGGAGCAGCTGGAGCTTTGTGTGTTCCCTGCTGTGAGAGGAGAGACAATACATTTATGGTGCATTAAGGTATTATTGTAACAGTGTTAGCGCTGAAAGGTTTCTGATCCTCAGAAATAAAGAGTAGCAGATTTGTCCCAGATTTATCAATGGAGGCAGGGTTCCCATTCAGACATGAGGGAGGGCAGGGCTCCAACACGAGGCTGCAGGATGCACAGCTCTGAATGGGGCAGGGCAAGCACAAGAGGATGCTTGAGATGGGCAAGGCTTCAAGGCAGGGAACCGAAGCCTGGGAGCAGCGGGGGGTTGGAATGAAGGTTCCATGTATGGGAGGATTCCCCTATGGCTGAGGGAGAGGTGAAGCTGTGTGCCCCCTCTGCTTGTTAATCTGCCCCAAGAAGGCCACTAAAGGAAGAAAGGAGCAGTGCTGGCTCTGCTGTTTGTGGAAGCTGCAGTTGATGCTGCAGGTCAGCCTGTAGATCATTGCACAGGGGAGTTTCCTAAATGGCTGTTAGGAATTAAATTGAATTTGTCGAGTCCAGATTCAAGATTAGAATTGGACGGATAAGCAGAGAGGATCTCGCAGGGGGAGGAGGTGGAGAGGCGGACATCCTGCATTAAACAGAAAAGCCACAGCCTGGAGGAGCACATTTGGTGCTGCGCTTTGCAGGAAAATGCTGGGGGCACTGCAGAGGTGTCCCTTCCCACGGGCTCCTATCAGCACTGGTGTCACCGTGCTCAATCTCCCCCTGTGATCGTGTTCATGCCTGCTGATTCGGGGCACAACCCAGCCTGCTTGACCAGCTGGGGCCGGCAGCAATGGCCCCGCAGCCGCTCTGCCTGCAGCGAGCTGCTGGCCTGGCAGAGCTTAATTAGATTTGATGGGATTAGGTGGAAGCAGCGGAGGGGAAAACAGGGCCAGGAGGCCACGCCGTGCCTGGGGCTGCTGGGCTGGAGCTGCAATCCTTCAGGCTGATTTCAAGCAGGCGGCAGCTGAGGGGTTAATTCCAGCTGCTGTGCTGAGCTGATGGGGACAGCTCGATCCCGGTTGCAAGGGAAGGGATTTTCCTCAATGCATCCCAAAGGTACGCGGCTCTCTGCAGAGCTGTGCTGATTTGCAGAGGGTTTACCCCCCCCCCCCTCCCCGACTGAGAGCCCGAGTAAACTGTTGCAATTACGGAAGTTCTGCCTTGTTGCCTCGAGCCTTTTGTCATCAATAAATGTTTACGGCATGAAGCAGCCTTGTTTGTTTGCCTTCGACCAGATGACAGTGATTTACTGGCAGAAATCCTAGCAGTGGAAAGAGATGAGCCAGACAAGTCCTTAAGTAAGTGCTACACACATGTATGGAGGGAGCAGACGATGGCTGTTGCACGATCACGAAACCTGCAGAGAGCAGAGCTCAGATTTTGGATGTGAACATTGTTTGCAGGAATGTTTTTGCAGCTTATGAGCAACCCTAGGGTGAAAGATGCTTGGTTTTCACTCTGTCCAGGTTGGGATGGGTGGGAGATGCTGTGTGTTGGGGTCTCCTGCTGTTAGCTGCCATAGGAATGATGAAAGAGTAAGGCTGGATGCCTGTTGCCCCAATTCCCTCATCCTGGGTGATGTGCAGCCATGAGCAGGACATGAAGCCAAGGATGGAGGAGACCATAAGAACCCAAATCCACACAGGGCAAGGTGCCGTGGCCTGGACATGAGTGTCCCCTATTGCTGCTGCAGCAATGAGTGCAGCTGGGGCTGAGGCCACAGCCCAGAGCAGTTCCCAGCTGGACGCCTCCTCCTGGGGCACCTCCACCACTTTTTGGAGCAGAAGGTTTGGGGTTATTTTGCCCCCTATCAAATCTATCAGCAAGATGAGGAAGGGAAGCTGGGTTTGCTCGGATCTGTTCGCATTTACGCTTTGGGCTCGGCTCCTACAGCAATATTTATTGCTGTTTTCCCCCATGGGTTTGTATATTTTGTACAGCTTGTTTCTAATTTAAAGTATAAATAAGTTTGATCTTTTCATCTGTGGTTTTTTTTTTCTCCCTACCTTCTGGAGGCTGTGCTGGTTAAAAATAACAGCAGCAAGGAGCTGCAGCTGGGCTGGTGGTGAGGATTTCACGTTCTCTGCAGTGGGGCTGTTGGGGTGGGATGGGATTGGGATGCCCTTAACACATCCCTGACCCATGTGGTCAGGCTCTTTCCCCAGCCAGGAACCCTCTGAATTCCCAGAGCCTCTCTTGGCACAGGGCTGAGGATAGGAGCGCTCCTGGAGAGCAATCAATGGGGTTTGGGAGCACAGGGACCCGTGGGGGGGGGGGGTTGGCCTCGAGTTACCCCTCTGTGTAAGCTTTGTGGGGATGGAGCGTTTGCCAGCACTGGGATTCTGCAGGAAAGGCTTTCTGCAGGAAAAAAAAAAAAAAATCCCATTTGACCAAAAGTGAACTATTTGTCTGAAAAGATTGATTGAGAAAAGCCTTCCAGCTTCCTTGCAGGAAAGACTGCAACTGCCTTTACGGAGGGCTGAGCCAGCTTCACTTCTGCATTGAGTTTGCTGTGGGGTTGCACACGCACACTCAGAACATGCATGAACATGTGCACGCATGCACACACATGCACATACATGCACACACATGCACTCACACACGCATGGGCATTTATGCACACACCCATGTGAACATGTATGCACGTGCATGCACACAAGCATCCACACATGCACGCCTGCATGCACACATATGCACATACATGTGCACAGACGCGGGCACACACACATACGTGCAGACACACATGTGCACACATGCACGCACATAGGCATGCACACCCACCTACATCCGTGCACATACACAGGCACACACACGGATACATGCTCACACACACACACACACACACACACGCCCTGCCGTTCAGGACTCCCCCCGCTGCTCCCAGCCCCCAAATCCTCCGGCAGTTCCCCGCCGCAGCCCCACCGCACCCCGGGCACGGTGCGAGCCGCTCCGCGGGGCTCCGGGGGTCCCCGAACCGGGCGGTGCCGGGGGGGTTCGGGGAGCGGCGGAGCGAGGCGGTGCCAGCGCTGGGGGCGGACTTTTTGAGCGCAGCCCGGCGCCGCTCAGAGCCGCGGCAGCCGAGAGCGGGGCGGCTGCTTCTCCCTCTCCGCCCCGAGGAGGAGGAAGAAGAGGAAGAAGAGGCTCCGACCGCCGCCTCGCCGTTCCTCTCGCCCTTTCCCCCTTCCTCCCCACACCTTTATGGACGAGCGCCGGAGCTTGCTGCACTCTCCTGCCGCCTCCTCCGCCGGCCGGCCCCCCAACAGCAGCCACCACAACCTGGGCTACACCGAACAGCCTCCCCCCGGCGCCCCGCAGCCGCCCCCCGGCCACGAGGAAGAAGAGGGCGAGGAGGCGGAGGAAGGCAGCATGACGGTGGTGGGGGGCGCCGGGGACCCTTTGCCGGAGGAACCGCAGCATCCGCACCCGTTGCTGGGAGGGGAACGCTACGAACACCCCGCGCCGCCCGCCGCCGGCCCCGCAGGGCATCCCGCGGAGGTCAGCGGAGAGCACGAGTGCTGCGAGCGGGTGGTGATCAACATCTCGGGGCTGCGCTTCGAGACTCAGCTGAAAACGTTGGCGCAGTTCCCCGAGACGCTGCTGGGGGACCCCCGTAAAAGGATGCGTTACTTTGACCCCCTTCGCAACGAGTATTTCTTCGACCGGAACCGGCCCAGCTTCGACGCCATCCTCTATTACTACCAGTCGGGAGGGCGCATCCGACGACCCGTTAACGTCCCCATTGATATCTTCTCCGAGGAGATTCGTTTCTACCAGCTGGGGGAGGAGGCCATGGAGAAGTTCCGGGAGGACGAGGGTTTCATTCGGGAGGAGCAGCGGCCGCTCCCCGAGAAGGAGTTCCAGCGCCAGGTCTGGCTGCTCTTTGAGTACCCTGAGAGCTCCGGGCCGGCCCGAGGCATCGCCATCGTCTCCGTGCTGGTCATCCTCATCTCTATTGTCATCTTCTGCCTGGAGACCCTGCCTGAGTTCAGGGATGACCACGACTACGAGGGAACCGGGGGGACATTTGGGACGGGTGGTGGCCCTCTCCCACCCGATGTCTTCACCAATTCCTCATCCTCGGCCGTTTCCATGGTGTCGTCCTTCACCGACCCTTTCTTTGTGGTGGAGACTTTGTGCATCATCTGGTTCTCCTTTGAGCTGCTGGTGCGCTTCTTTGCCTGCCCCAGCAAGGCCACCTTCTCCAAGAACATCATGAACATCATTGACATTGTGGCCATCATTCCTTACTTCATCACGCTGGGCACCGAGCTGGCAGAGAGGCAAGGCAATGGCCAGCAAGCCATGTCCTTGGCCATCCTCCGAGTCATCCGCTTGGTGCGGGTCTTCCGGATCTTCAAGCTGTCCCGGCACTCCAAGGGGCTGCAGATCCTGGGGCAGACCCTCAAGGCCAGCATGCGGGAGCTGGGCTTGCTCATCTTCTTCCTCTTCATCGGCGTCATCCTCTTCTCCAGCGCCGTCTACTTCGCCGAGGCCGATGACCCCAGTTCGGGTTTCAGCAGCATCCCTGACGCCTTCTGGTGGGCCGTGGTGACCATGACCACAGTGGGCTATGGGGACATGCACCCCATCACCATCGGGGGCAAGATTGTGGGCTCTCTGTGTGCCATCGCGGGGGTGCTGACCATCGCCCTGCCCGTGCCCGTCATAGTCTCCAATTTCAACTATTTCTACCACCGGGAAACAGAAGGTGAGGAGCAAGCCCAGTACATGCACGTTGGAAGCTGCCAGCACCTCGCATCTACCGAAGAGATGAGGAAGGCACGCAGCAATTCCACCCTCAGCAAATCCGAGTACATGGTGATAGAGGAAGGGGGAATCAACCACAGTGCATTCAAACAGGCTGCCTTTAAGACAGGCAACTGCACAACCACAAACAATCCCAACTGTGTGAACATCAAAAAGATCTTTACGGATGTTTAATAAACACAGAGCGGCAGCGAAACCCGAGGATGTGGTAAAAAATAATAATAATAATAATAATTAATAACAATAACGATGCAAAAGTGACCGTGTGTACTTGGTGTTGTGTGGAACATGCACCATCGTCCGTCTGTGTGCGCCCTTGGTTTTATACGTTTATTTTTGTAGGATTTTTGTTGCTGTTTTTTTTTCCTTTCTAAAGATCCGAAAAGGATTTAAAATTCTCCAAAGAAAAGAGGACGGCCGATGGGTCCGGAGGAGGAGAATGAAGACAAATGGCACCGCTGGAGCGGGTGTCTGTTCTGCAACGTGTTGCAGGGCTGCCTTTGTTTCCTGGCTTTTGGGGACGTCTCGCTTTGCTCCTGGTTTGCTCCCCCTTCCCTGCAGGCGGTGCGGAGCCCATTTCCCTTCCATCACATAAGCTCACTTGTTGGATTAGCGGCCCCGGATTGGGTGGGGAGACGAGGAAAACATGTTGCCGAGCTCTGGAAGGGGGCTGGGAGGAAACGAGCCTTTAATTTCGCACGGTCTCCGTTAGCAGGTTGTTAAACGGTGCTTAATGCTGGGAGGCGGTGCGCCCTTAGGGACGCGCCGCGGATCCCCTTTTTTCCCCCGATTGATCGTTTATGACATTCTCATCCGATCACAAACCGAGCGCAATCGGTTCAGACTAAAAACCGACCCCCCTTATTTTCTACCCTTAATTCCCTTCCCCTGCAGCTCTGGGCGTGATTTCACCCAGCTCACGATCCGTGGGTCCGTGTGCTGCGGCGGGTGGAGCGGGATGGGGTGGATGCACGAGGGCTGAGCTGCTGAGCTGCAAACAAAGGGATGTTTCCACCTTTTGCACGGCGTCTGGGAGAGATGCAGCTGCTGATGGCAAGGAGATTAAAGTGGTGAGCACGCCTTCCAGCGGAAGTCACTAATTCGGACCGGAGTGATGCAGTTGCTATGGCGACCCTGGTTTCCTGGGAAACCCCAAAAGGTTGTCATGGCATCCCTTCTCCCATCCCCCCCCTCGGCCCTCACCCTTCCCTCCAAAGCCCTTCCAGATGGTTCCAGCCCCACCGTCCCATGGCTCTGCACCGCACTGGGATCCCATCCTGCACCCCCATCCGCACCCCATCCTACAGCCCATCCCTGCACCCCAACACCCGCTTGTAGGCAATAAGCACTCCCCAGGTCCTCCTCTCCCTCTCAAAGGAGTTCAAACCTTGGCAGTGAGATTTGGGAGCCTGCAGACACGAGTGGAGAAAGGACCGCGCTCACCTCACCCCGGAGCAAAACCCCAAATTGTCCTCCAAGGGCAGAAATGAAAGCTCAGCAGGGAAAGCTCGGCAGCCTTCGGAAACCAGAGGGACAAATGCAGAGCTAGAAAGAGCAAGATTGCAATGTAAGCCCAAAGCCGCCAGGGAAAATGTGCCTCCTTCATCCTTCTGTGCACATCGGGGGCTGCAGGACATCTGATGGGATCAGGTGAGCTTTGCAAGGGGGGAGAGGTTTTTGTTTGCATCACTGCTTTTTGGAACAAACCTCGTGTTTCCTTCTGCGTGGTGTTGTTTTCCAGCTTCCCTGCTGCCCTCGTGTGTCTTCGTGCACTTTGGGTGTAATGGGATGGCAGCATCCTAAGGTTCCTCCAGTTCTGTGTGCTTCTCACTTTGCTGTCTGGTGTTGCACACTGAGCTCTGGGTGAGCAATGCTGGGGGAAAGCTGTGCTGCTCTGTGCAGGGATCTGTCCAAAACTGTGCAAAAAGAGAAGAGTTGTGGCAGTGTTTTGGTGCTCTGGGTTGGTCCCTGGTGAGGCTGGTGGGGCCCTGCTCTGTCCCAATTGGTTTTGGGGTAAGAACAAAGAGGTTTGTCAGGTGGGGAGTGCACAGGAACACCAGCAAAGGCAAAAGACACCTGGAGCCCAACCTGGCTGAGCCATGTGTTTCCTGAGGGGATGGAAGGGAGGATTTTCACCTTGTTGAAACTGGAAATTTTGCTGGGAATTCCTCCAGACTTTAAGAGCGTTTGGGATGGTCTGCGCCACCTCACACTGCCCCTCAGCCCCAGCACCCCAACCAGTGAATAAAACCCTCAGCACCAACTGGAAACATCCGAGCAGCTTCTTCACTAATGGCATCTGACGGCTTTATTGGAGCTGCAGCACTTTCCCCAGCAGAGGATCTGCTGTGACCACGGCGAGGGTGATGCTCTGCAGCCACACAGAGCTGACAGCCCTCACCCTGACAGCATCCCAGGGCACGGGGCAGCAGGGAACCCCCAGGCACCTTTGCCAGCAGGCTGAGCTGTCACAGCCAGCTGCGAGCTTTCCCTTCTGATGGCTATCAAAGCTTTTCTGCGTGCCCCGTCCTAAAAGGAGGTTGGAGCTCAGGGCAGTGGGAGCTCTCCCCCCTCCTCGCTGAGTTTCGTTGTGATATTTTTGCTGTGGCAGTTGCACGGATGGCACCGGCACGGAAACCGCATGTGTGCCTGGAAACAGCAACACGCAGTTCTCAGTTTCCGTGCCACTTAAATAAGCAGAAACCTCACCGGTCGTTAGTTTGCTTTCCTGGCTGCTCCCTGCCTCATTCAGTGGGGGCAGAACAGCTTCAAACGCTTGTCAGCAAAAAAGAGGTTTATCACAGAGGCGCTAAGGAAGCCGGATCATCCGCCGTAGTTTTTCAAGCACTTGAATGGCACTGCTAAAAAACGTCAATGCGCTGAAGGCACGCACAGAAATGGGAGAGGGAGCAGCAAGCAGCAAAACGGGGATATCCCTGCTGTGCTCTGCCCCATTTCTGTCTGCTCCTTCCCTCCGTGCTGTCAGTCTTGCTGGGTGCCATTCGGTGCACGCGGTCTGACAGCTCCACCGAGTGCGTCCTGCCAGGAGCTGCAAAGTGCTGCCAGACTGCTCCGTGGCAGCCTGTGGGGATGGAGAGCCCTGTGCTGCCTTGCAGCTTCCATCCGCGTGTGTTCCTTTGCTGCCTTGCAGCGTGCATCCACTTCATGCGCCCTTGCTGCCTCTCTGCGTGCATCCGCTGTGTGTTAGTGCTGCTGCAGCCGTTGCTCCAGGCACAGCAGAGCACACTGGGCTGTGAAGCTTGCCTCAAAACAGGTGTTACCCTGGGCTGCTGGTGGCGTTTAGGGGACCATAGGGTCTCTGCCTACCCATGGGTGCATCAGCTTTGGTACAGGAACCCTCCTCCCCCCATCCTGGCCTTTCTGCTTGATGCTTTTCTCACTTTTTTCTCCTGCTTATTTACACTTTTGTGGCCTGGAATCCTCCGAAAAGGTTCACTGCTTCCCAGTACAGCAGATGCCCTTCAGGTGGATGGGATCTGTCCCACTCCGGGGTCACAGAGCAGGGCTGGGGTGTCCCTTTCCTCCTGCAGGGTCGGATTTCTTTGGGCAATTGTTGCCGTTCTGTCCCTTGACAAAGGGACAAAGGAAGCTGCTGGTTGTTTTTCATCCCCAATTTAGGAACAGTTTAGTGGGGACAAAGGGCAGATCAGCGGCTTCCCCAGCCGAAGGAAAGGAGCCCTCACCCATTGCCAAGGGGTGTCCTGACAGAGCAGAGCGTGGGGTGCTGCTGGTGGTTTGTGTGTGTGGAGGGCATTCTGCATGAAATCTGTTCAATTGTGTAGTTTGGAGCCCTCTTCCTGCCAAGCTTTTAAAATATGCATATCTATGTGCAAGCACAGCCCAGCCCGACACAAGGCAGTGCCTTTCTCCATATTTGAATGCTTTAACAGGCTGCAAACCTGTGGTGCAAAGCAAGCAGACGGTGTAGGATCGCACCTGGCAGCGCTCTGCCTTTCAGTCTCATGCACTTTGTGTAGGGGAAGGAAAGCTCAGCAATGGCACCCCTGTGCCAAGGCACGAGTGTGGGCAACGGGTGCAGGGAAATGGGTGTTTTGAGGACACCGTGGGATGCCATGGGGAGAGCGAATCCTGTGTGTTCCTTCACTGCCATGGAGCTGGTGCTGCTCATCCTCACCTTTCTCTGCTTTGGGTCTTCCCCCATTTCACGGCTTTGGGCAGCGATGTGCAGCTGGGAACATTTGGGTGTTGTGGATATGGGGACATCTGTGCGTCTCACTCTGCTGGGAATCCCTCCCCTGGTAGTGGGGGGACAACAGCATTTGGGTGGGCACTGATGGAGGATTTTCTTAGGGTACGGCATGGAGCTGCCCTTGCATTGCATGGGGAACGTTTACTCCTGGGGGGAGCCCAGCGGAGCAGCCCCAGTGAGGGCTCTGCAGCTCGTAGGACAGAGCCCCAGGCACAGCCGAGAGCTTTTTCTCCCAAACTTGGCTTTCTGAGCAGGAAAATGAGTAATGGTGCCTCCGTCAGTGCGATATTCATCCCTCCTGACGGGACGCGTGTTTGCTGCTCTGTGCTGGAAGGCGTCAGGGCTGCTGTGCTCCTGCTGTTTGTCAGCAGCAGAGAGCAAACAGCATTTTTTGCTCATGAGAACCATTCTCCGTGCGGAAGAGGGATGGGAGTGGGTCCCACGCTGCCCTTTCAGCTGGAGAATTTTTGGCTATTCAAAATAGCCAAAAATGCTCTGAGAAAATCCCTCACGAGCCCCTGCTTGCCTTTCCTCTGTGAACGAGGAGCTGCTTTTTGAGATCCCCACATTTCAGGGGCCCATCCGTGTCTCATTACTGGCAGAGTGCTGAGGATGCTCTGCAGGAGGACAGGGAAACCTTCACACACGGATGTGCCTGCGGGGCACCATCACTTTTCTCCTTCTTATGAAGCAGGACATGCTCCAGTAAATTAAAACCTGTCTCCTATCTCATTCAGCTTGTCACTCTGCTCAAATACTTCCCTCTGGCTGCTCTTCACCTCTGCACAGAGGGAACCATCTCTGTACACCAAGCCCCCCGGATCAGCGGTGCTGTGTTGGTTCTGCAGTGATTCATTTCCTCACCACTCGTAATTCGGATGCTTTTCTGAAGCTCCGTCACGTCTGTTGCTCTTCCACATTTGTTGCACTTCATTTTTAGCATCCTTACACGTAGTGTGTGGGAAGACTTGGTGCGGATGTGCATGACTGCATCAGCCACTGGCTATCTCTGCTCTCGCTCTCCAGGCAGCAAAGTGCACTCGGAGTTGTGTTGATGCTGACCAGCACCAGCTGTTTGCTCCCCTCTTGCATAGCAGATATGGAAAATCCTTTTGGGTTGTGTCATGGTTTGATCAGTGGTGGCTGGGGTGCAGTGGGGCTCCTGCAGCAGCGCCTTTGCTCCGGGTTTTGCTCTTATGAGAACCCAAAGGCTGCAGTGAAGCATGGAAAAGATGAAAGCACGCATTGCAAAGCATTTTTGCGTCTGCAGAAAGATGTGTTTTGCTGTTTGCCCCTGTGGTAGCAAAAAAAGGAGCTGACAGCACTGTGGTGTGGCTGGGGATGCTGTGCAGGTTGCAGTCCATGAAATGGGATTCCCTGTGCTGCAGACATGGGGGATGTGCATCTCTGCACTTGCATTTCCACCCTCATGCCTCATTTCTCCTGAGATCTCTGTGTATTTGTTGCTCCGTTTTCATAACCAAGGTGCTGTGCAGCTCGTTTGTAGGAGTGCATTACAACAGCACACACCTCTGTCAGCCATACCTGGAGCTCAGTAAGAAGAGCTCATCAAGTTAATGCGATAAAACCAATTTCCCCCAGAGCTGCATTGTGTGTCATCAATTATAACCCGCACTTTCATTCTGTATTCAAAATCTCAGCCATTCCAACGTATTTTCTGGGATGAGAGGAAGGCGGACAGACCCATCCTTTTTGTTTATCCCTTAAGGATTTGGCTCAGCAGGAGCTGTTTTCCAGTCCCAGATTTCCCCCGGGTCCAGGGCTCAAGGAAGATGCGGTGCACGCAGTCTCTCGAGCCGCTCCGCCAACTCCCACCTCTTGGCCCCAAATCCTTTGGCTCCACCAACTGAACAACCTCTGATTTCTGTAGCTTCTGCTTCACATCCTCTGCTTCTGTTGGAGGGGGGGAGGATTTCATCATTCCTGTGTGCTGGGAATACGTCTGCATCCCTTCAGGAGCCGGAGCAGCAACATCTCCTGCATGCTTCTGACCTCACTCCCACTACTGTTCTGGCTGAATTCAGTGGAATAATGACATCATTAGATTGAGGGTTTGGAGGTTCTGTCTACGAGGACAGGGATACGTCCTGGAAAGGCATTGGGGTGCCCAGAAGAGCTGGGAAACCTGAGCTGTGTCTGCATTTCTGCCCATTGCTCAGCATCCGTTAAGCCCGTGCTGTGCTGAGGTTCCCATCCGGGTGTATGGGATGGCTCCAGGCTCAGCCATTTGGGTAAAACAGGCTCATGTGGGGAAAATCGGCTTATTGTAGGGTAGGGCTTCATGGCCAGGCTGGGAGAAGTGGATCCAGGTTCGTTAGTACTTAGTTTGTTAACACAGATCCTTCCCGCTAACGAAGCACCCAGCTCTCGTCACCCGATCTGGTGGCAGCGCTCATTAGCACTCATCAGGCTGGTTTTAATATAGTTAACGAACCTCTCCATCAGAAGCATTACTAATTCTCAAACATCAGCACCAAGGGGCCAGCGCTTGGGATCCATTCAGCGCTCAGTGCCACGTCCCCCCAGCTCAAATCCCCACTGGGGGTGGGCAGAGCAGCGCTCCATTTCCCAGCTGTGGGATGGAGGGAGGTGTTCATTTTGGGGGGAAATGGGAGTGATGGAGGTGGTGGGACAGAGGGTGGATCTCAGGCTGGGTCTCAGCAATCAGCCCCTGCTCTCAGCTATCAGCTCAGCCAGTTGCTTAATACCATATCAGGTCTTCAGGAGCTCAGCTTGATTAAGAGAAAAATGTGATGAGGAAGACTCACTTCATGGTAATTATTTTGGATTGGATTTGCAACTTGCCGTTAACGTGAGCAAATAGTTAAGAGCCAGAATATGCTTAATGAATCTTTTCCTAGCTTTAGCTCTCTTTCAGCTGCGTTGCATTCAGTCCGTTAAACGATTTTAATTAGCAAAATTTTGCTTTTCATTTCTGGGGAACGGGGATTGAAGTCCGAGGGGACCAATGTGTGCCATCCACCCCACTCTGCGCTGAAACCACAACGACGCGCTGCTCCTTTTCAAAGCCAGGCTGTGCACCAACGCTGCTTTTTCTTTGCCCAACAGAGAGCAGAAAAGCTTCAGTGTGAGAGCTTCAGGACCGTGCCTGGGGATGAGACACCTCTGCAGGAGATGGCGCTCACTGATGGATGGAGCTCCCCGCCCCGACCTGCTCCTCACCTCGACTCACAAGTGCATTATGGATGGGAGATTCTTTATGCAATGTGATGAGACGGCGCCAAGCCAGGAAAGAGAAAAACAAAAAAGAAAGACGGTGGTGGAAATGGGTTGGATGTTATTTCAGGGTTTGGGATTTTGTGTTTGGTTTTTTTTTTTTTTTTTCTTTCTTGTTATAAAAAAAAGAACAAAAAACTCTTGGAAGGTTGAGCAATCGGAAGGGAAACGCTGAGCAGAGCTGCCGGTGGGCTGTGCAAGTGTTCTGCTTGGGGTGGGAGCAAAATGGGGGCATGTGGGTTGCTCTCTGTGCTCCCAGTGACACAGGCTGGTTTTGGCCATAGGAAGTGAACAAGCTCTGTTCTATTTTTTCTGGCTTTCCTGTATGTGCTCCTTATAAATAGGTTCGTGCTGCACCAAAGGCATCCCTCCCTGCCTCCTGCGGTGGGAGCCGTGTCCTCCCAGCAGGCTGCAGCTTCCCAGCACTGGAATGAATGCCAAAAGCTGTCCAGTGTCTGGGGGCGAGGGCTGAGCTCATTTCCATCCCTGTGAGCCCCAAATAACCCAGCGGTGCTCTCTTTCCATTGTGATGGATGGGAGGGCCCTGTGTCACATCCAGCCCTGCAAAACAGCTGTGAAACAATGGGTTTGCAGCCGTCCTGCATCACCTAGCCTGGTTCTGAGGGTGCAAAAGGGATCAAACAAACAAATCTGCAGTGATCCCATAGGGGAGAGCAGCCTGTGGGGGGGGTCGGGGCTGCAGACAGCCCAGCACCCCATGAGATGGGACCCTGTGGGCAGGGGGAGAGCTGATTTCCTCTCGGGAAACCCTGGTCCCAGAGGTGTTGAATTTAGTTTCTTTTGGAACATTAAACAGTAGCCCTTAAAAGTGGGGATGGAATGTATCAGTACAGAAGTTATTTTTTCTTTCTCACTGCTGTGTTACCCAGAGGTTTTTTTACGAGCTGTGTGTGTGCGCGCCGTGGTTGTGCCTCGTCCGTTTTCAATGAGCTCTGTGTTAAAGCATCTCTCTGCTTGGGGTTGGATGGGATGGGAAGAGCAGAGCCCTCCTGCTGGGCTTTGAAGCAGTGATGCCCCAATGGGTGCCAGCAGCTCTGCTCCCCACACCTCACCTTCCCCATGGACGCCCTGAGTGTCCCCATCCACTGCAGGCAGTTGGACCAGATGGCCTTTAAGGCTCCCTTCCAACTCAATTCTGTGACTCTGTGACATCTCCAAATCTGGAAATCACCAAATTTCAACCCGTGCTCAGTGTTGTACGTATCAGCTCCGGCAACAAAACTGCCCTTCAGCCCACGTGTTCTCCATGCTGTTGGATTTCTTTTGCTTGATTGCTGACCTGGCTAATTGTTAATGTGCTTTCTCCAAATAAGCGAGAGTTTGATAGTCTTTAATTGTTGGTCCGGTGTATTGTCTGCATTGTCATGACTCCAAAGATAACCCTGTGTGTTCTATAGCCAACCACCATAGCAGGACAGCCATGCAGAAATGTCATTTTGAAGGGAGAGCCAGATTTTGGCAAGGGAAGAGAAATTAAAAATGTATTTAAAAAAAAAAAAAAAAGGGAGAGATTTAATGATGGCTGACAGGAAGAGAAGGCCCCCCAAAAAATAGCATGTATTTATTGCCATAATCATCCGACTGCAGGCTGCTCATCTTTATTCATAGCCCTTCAAAGCCACGCTCAGAGATGCTGAGGAAGCCGTGCGGCGCTTGAGACGCCAAACACGTCTGAGCTCCTCCTGCTGTCTGCAGCCCTTCTCTCTTCCCATGTCAGTGCGTTCGATGGCAAGGGAGCTTTGCCACAGGCCCCCTCCTGGTGGATTTGTAGGGCAGGGCCCCAGGGTGCTGTAGGCACTGGGGTGACGTTCATGGATAACAGCTGAAAGAGGCACAGATGTTATCCAAAAGGTGTTTAAGTGCTGCTGTGGCCACTGAATTCTTCTAAAATTGAAGAAGAGGGTCTTTCTCCTCTGTACAGCCTTGGAAGTCTGCATGGCTCCTCCTCTTGCTTCTCCTGTTGCACTGCTCTGTAATGCGGTGCCTTTGCTCACCTCTGACACGGGGAAATCACCCTGCGTTGATTTCTTTCTCTTTTCAAACATGACATCGTCAGTGCATCTTCCAAAGGAATGGGCTGAGATCTGCTGTCCTTCTCTGCTGTTTTCCAGATCTTTGTCCCTGATGACAGCGAGGCCAGGCCAGCAGCAGTGCCATTTCAGAGAATGTTTGGGGGCAGGACGACTTTCCTGCCTCTAGAAAAGCCGTTGACACATCTGAGCCTTCGTGCTATTAAGAGGAGAAGTAGCAATGGCGTGGAGTTGTGGCCCAGTACCTGAAATGGGGCAGTTTTAGTCAAAATGGTGTTTGCTACCATCCACCTGCCACTGGTGTATGAGAAATGGGATTTAGTCATTTGTTTGGGTGCCAACAGAGTGATGTCTGAAAGTCGCACCCAACCTGGTGTGTAGGGAGGAGAACTGTTGTTGTAGAGGAAGGAGTGTTCCCATGGCCAAACTGAGCTCCTCCCAAGGAGAATAACGAGCCTGAGGTCCCAAAGCTTTGCAAGAGGGGAACCTGACCAAGCACCCACCTCTCACACAGGAGGTCTTGATTTCTTCATTCCCCATCATTTACTATGCAATTCGTTTCCATGATTCCTTCCTGGTTGGGTAGAACAATGACGTTGCTTTCCATGTCATCAGGCAGCGCTTTGGCTGGTGATGAGGAGTCCTTTGGACTATCTCAGCATCAACACACACAGAGATATTCCAGCAGTGACATCCCGCCTCCTGAAACCCAACACACCCCCCTGACAACCCAGTGGCTTTTTCTGCACGAAGGCCAAACCCAGAGCAGCCAGGCTTTGCAGAAACGACACCATTTGTGGCTGGAGATGCAAAGCTCAGCCTCGTTGCTCTGCTTTCCTTTTTGTTTTGGTCTGCCCAGGGAGCTGTGTGGCCCACGTTTCAATTTATTCCATCGGTGCTGATCTGATGCTCATACAAACATCCTGTTGTCCTGGAGACCCCACTGTGCTGTGGGCTGCGTATTCAGCTCCACACGGATGGGTTTCTGGGTTTTCATTTTCTGGTCGTGTGGATTTTTTTTACCTGATGTCAAACTTATTTTTTTTAATGTTTTTTTTTTTGTTGTTTGTTTGTTTATTTTTTTCATTAGGACTCAAAACTGTTCTTTCATACGCAAAGTTCAATAAAACGGCTGAAACACATCTCTGGTGGTGCCACGGTGATGGGGATGGGCGATGAGATGGGAAAGGAGGGATGCTGGGGGTCCAAGGATGTAACAGGGATGGGGTATGAGATACCTCTGGAACAGGTTGCCCAAGGAGGGCTGTGGATGCCCCATCCCTGCAGGCATTCAAGGCCAGGCTCTGAATGTGGCTCTGGGCAGCCTGGGCTGCTGGTTGGTGACCCTGCACATAGCAGGGGGTTGGAACTGGATGAGCACTGTGCTCCTTTGCAACCCAGGCCATCCTATGATTCTATGAACTCACTGCTCATTTTTCAGTGTGAAAGAACGTGGAATGTGATGCATTTCTCAGGAACAAAACTGAGCAGCAAAATCATGGGGTAAAATTTGCACATTTCCATCCACCCCACCAACCTGGAGAGCTGCACTCGCTTTTTAGACCAAAGTCGCTCTGAACAAAGCCTAGAAATTCTCATTGTTAGCATCACAAGAGGGGATGTCACCAGTGATACTTTGGCAAAGCCAATGTAAGTGGAGGCACTGAACCATTCGTCCTCATTGCAGGCGGAGAGCTTGAGAAACGAGGCTTGAAGTTCATCTGAAAACCTTGCCCTTGGCTTTGTACCACATCTTTGGGCTTCACCCAAAAGCAAGCTTGGCCAAATAATCTCAGAGCTTTTTTAGGTTATGGCTTGTCTAAAAAATATTGAAGAGTGAGAGAGAATGGAAAAATAAACGACGACTGTACAAGCTGCATTTAATCTGCAGCAGCTGGGACCGGTCTGCACTTGGGCAGCCTGAGAGCAATTGGAGAGCAGTGCAGACCTGCAGAATTTCCTGGTTTCTTTTGCTTTTCAATCACCTGCACATTCCTGCTCTGGGGAACACAGCTGGGGGCCATAAAGTGAGCAGAGCCATAGCGCAGCTGAAACCCAGAGTTTAACATGGGTGATGTAAGCCAAGGCAATGTGGGGAAGGCTGGGTTTGGTGCAGCATCTGTTGCTGGAGGGGCACCCATTGCTGGGGTGGCTCACATTGCATTGCAAAAGTGCTGTTCTATTGCATCCCATGACCCAACGGCCCCTGCAAGTGAGGTATTGTTTTACTGCACCGCAGACCGAGCTCTTGAGCTGGGTGGATTTGCAAATCCTATTCCTGAGAATGCATCCCCAAGCCCTGTGCAAGACTCTAAGCTGAGGGCCGAGGCTGGCAGCAGAGCAGTGGCCCATGCCTGCTCCTGGTAGGCTCAGACTGGGAATTTAGCAATGACAGAGAAACTTGAAGCTTCAAGTTCTACAAATCATCTGCTCTGACCCCACTGGCCTCTCTGTGTGCACGGAGCAGCACAGGGCTCTCCTTGGGGGCCTGAGCTCTGCCCCCGCCTCTGATGTCTGCATTTGGGCAGGTTCCTGGGAAAGCAGCATTCAGCTTCTTGCTTTTGTGCTGTTTTGGCTTTTTTCTCTCTCTCGGTTTGCTGCCAGCACCGAGGCTGCTGGTGCACAGTGGGGGATGAGCGGAGCTGGTGAGCAAAATCCCTTTGCACCATCTTCAGTGTCTCTGTTTCCTAATTGTCTCCCAGTGGCTGCTCAGGGAGCAAACCAGATCCTGGCCAGAGCCAGCAGCAGGACGAGATCCCACGTGGGATGCTCAGAGCTCTGGTGACCGGTTTGGTGGCCCTGGCTGCCCTGACCTCGTTTTGTTCCTTTCTGCACTGGTTCCCCTGAGGGCTGCAGTGCTCCCAGCTGTCAGTTTCGGTTGCTGTGTGGTTAACTGGTCTGGTACTTCAGCAACCTTGAAAAACAGGATGTCTCGAAGGCTGAGATGCAGAAGGTGGCATGGATGGCATCAGCCCAAACATGCTCTTGCATGAAAAGCAGCGCAAGATCCCTGATGGGCAGGGGGTGATGTGCTCACACCAAACCCACGACAGGACTCAGACCCATGGGTCTCTCCTTCTCTTCCTCTCCAGCCTTCCCATCTGTGGCTTCTCCAGAATGCTGCAGATTTCCATAGGGAATTTCCCCTCTCCCCAAACCACCCCTTCCTAAGGAGACCTTAGATTTAACGCATCAGTTCTCATCTTTCAAACAGATGCTGGGAACTGGAAGGATTCTCTTCCACATGGTGAGATGGGGTTTCCTCCTGCCAGAAGCACTGCCCATACCCATGGGATTGCTAAGGTTATCATTTACTAAACACCACCTGGCCCTGTTATTCGATTGACTCTTGGATTCGATTGACTCTTGGATTCCTTCTGCTCGTGCTTCAGCTCGGAGTGATGGAGACTGCAGATGTTCCTGGGGTCTTTCTGCAGAACAAAAGCTTTCCCTCTTTTTCCTCACACTCCCCAAAGGAATTAAGCACAAATGAAGGGAGGTGCCGTGATTTGGACCGTGGTTCTGAACAGCTCCTGCTCCAGCCGTGCAGCCCTCATGGGAGCTTGGGGACAGCCTGGGTGGGTTCTGCTCATTCAGGAAAGCTTGTGCTGAGAGCAGAGGGTGGGGAGGGGGAGCAGGGGATGCCAAGGCTAAAAATAGCAGCTTTCTAAAGAAGCAGATGAAAACCTCTTTGAAGAAATGAGAGGAGAGGGGGAGGGTTACCATAGAAACAGGGAAGTCTGTCTCGTCCCAAAAGAGGGGGTGGGAGAGGAAGAAATAGTAAATACAGCAATGAGGTGACAGAGAGGATGCTGCAGGGCAGCAGGCAGAGCTCTGCCACCACCCAGTGTGGGCACGGCACCTCGTGTCCTGCCCAGCATCATTGCCTGTCACCACCCCACGCCACCAGGACCTGGACCAGGGATGATCTTGCAAGGTCACAGTGATGGAGAACCCCCCTGGGAAGTGATAACACAATGAATTCCTACCTCATCCCACAGCGTCTTGTAGGAATTTTCCACCCTAGCAAAGCCATCTCCAGGAGGGACTTTGTAGTGATGGAGCTACACTGGTGGCATTGGCCTGGCTGGAAGATGGAGGAACCAAGGTGGAAGGCGGTCCTCAGCTGAGCAGCCCCAGCCTGCATCTCTCCCTGCAGCATTCATGTGTGGGAGGACAAGAGGATGGAAATGGTCCCTGCAGAGCCCTTTTCCTCCTGCCTTGTTTTTTCCTTCCCATGGAGCACTGTCTGTGGCTGTGCTGGTAGAAAACATCACAACTGGGTCTCCAAGCACCCACCATGCAGCAGGGACAGATAGACAGGGAGGTACACAGATGTTATACAGCACTTGTGGATGGGATGGGATGAGGAAAGAAGAAGAATGGAATGGAATGGAATGGAATGGAATGGAATGGAATGGAATGGAATGTTCCAAGTTAGAAGACCACAAAGAACATAGAGTCCAGGAGATGAGATCCTGAGGTGGTCCACCCACTGCCCCAAGGCAGAGGCAACCTGCCTGCAGGTTTTTGCTATCTCCACTGCAGGCATCTCCCATCTCCCCTTACTGTTCTCATCCCTAAGCTCAGAAGTTTTCAACATTAGTTCTATGCCCCTGCTGTTTTGGTGAGCATCGCCCTTCCTAGAGCTGGAGGAGAAGCGATGCTCCATTGAGCACATGGGAAAGGTCTGGTTCAGACCCGAGGAAACCAAATCATTGGAGGAGAATGAAGCATGTGGGAAAGCTCATCACTTCTCTTGCATCTCCCCTGGAGTCACACGGGGAGCTCTGGTGCTCAGCAAAGCCAGCTTTCCATCGGCATCGCAGAAAAGCACTTTTGGAGCCCTGCAGCAGCTCAGTCTCGTGTTTGGAAGGACTTAAGGATGCAGGGACGCAGCTGTGTCCCTTCGGCCAGCTCAGGGGGATGCAGTGGCTCAGCTGATGCCTTGGTAAGGGCCCAGACCTGGGGAGGGACTTGGGGGTTATACACAGACAAGTGTGGGGAGCACAAAGCAGGCTTGGGAGCAGGACAGATTCCTTCCCAGAGCTGAAAGCACTCGCGCCTGGCTCGAAGGAGGCTATTGATTTCCTTTCTGCTCACTAATTTGGCTTGTCCTGTTCTTTTTGTTTGTGCAAGTCAAAGAAAGATGCTGTGAGAGCCTTTTAGCTGGAGCGGCCGGAGCTGCCGCTCGCCCCGCGCCGCGGCTCCATTAGCAATCCTGCAGCAGACTGCCATGAAATATTCACAACCTCAATGGGCTCCAAAGACCTCAAGAACTGAAGTTCTACGCCGTGTTTTGGTTGGGCGAAATGACTTTTTGTTTTCAATGAACAGCTCCCAGGCAATGAGATGTTTGCTGGTTCCGCTCCGGGCTGAGCGAGCATTTGGGAGGCAGCGATGCTGCAACGCAACAGCCTTCATCAAACAAACATTCAGGGTGGAACCTGGAGTTATTTTCTTTAACTAATCACGTATTTTTAATATGGGAAACATCACAGAGGGAGAATGAACATAATTTTATCTTTGCAGGTAGGTAATATCAGCTACGTTGCTTTGCCAAGGGCCAATGGATCTTCCCAAGGATCAGGAGCTCTTTGCAGGAACAGGAGACCTTCCCATGGACCCAGCTGCCCCAGGACATGGCCCCATGACCACAAGATCTGCTCCTCCTTTCCCGTGTCACCATGTCACTGCTGTATTCTGGGATTGGCCAGCAGCACAAGGTATGCCAAGAGCAAAAGTCACCTTGTTCTCTGGCTGCCTCCATTTTCAGACCCTGTTCCATCACAGTGTGCTCACCACCATCTCTCAGTGTGTCCTTTTGCCACTGCACACCAATGCCCAGCCATGCAGCAGTGCTTGCACCCTCTGTTGATGCATGCAGCAGGCAGGAGGTGGGATGCTTTCTCTAGAGGGTGACTCACAGCTTGGGGAGGCCACTCATCATTGTCACAGCTCCTAAAATGTCACAGGTTCCTCCCGATGGAGGCTCGGATGGAGGCAGGAGCACAGTTTGCTCAGGATCCTGGGAGTGCAGCAATGCTCATGCATGCATCCAAGCCATGGTCTTGATTCTTCCTCATTGCATGACTGCAGGCATCCCTCAGAGCCCCACTGGCCTTGCAGGAGGCGTCCCCAG